AAGTATATATAGGAAGCTAATGATTTTGAAGAAATTACTCATTTAAAGAAAGTTTAAAGGAAGACATCTTGTAAACAGAAAAGAGCTGAAAAATTATCTCTCTGAAGTTTCCCAGAGCTGGATACCTGGCACTTAAAAATACAATTTTTAGCTACAAATTTTAATTCAAGTTCAATGAAMAGAAGAATGAAGAATGAATAATTTTTGAAAGCTTAAAACTGAATTCTAGTTAAGCTCATTGAATTCTTCACTCTTCATAACTGGAACATATGAAGTGCTTTAAATAACATTTTTAAAAGGTGGTTCGAAATGGTATTATGGATGAAAATACTTCTAGAAATCCCCATGTGATTTATAGTAATTTAACAGCAGGTTTAAGCTGGTTTTTGTATCCCCAAGCAGCCTCTGATGACTTCTTTCCCAGATGCTGTATTTCACTTTGCCTGCCCCTCCTGTTTTACCCTAAAAAGGTATTTTTTCAATTATTTCCACTCAGTGGTTAAAACAGCTTAAACCTAGACACTGATTTGGTGGTATTGGTGAAGGGAGAACCCGATTCTTTGAAGTGCTGTGCAGAAAAAGACTGACTACATTTCACATGGGTATTGCCCTTTGAAGGGCCAGCTCTTTCCACACTCCTGCTGCTGCTCAGTGAGGAAATCTTCCCTGCCCTTGGATGTACCTGTGCTATGGAGCAATACATAAACACATTCTGTCCCATGGAGGAACTTTGCTTTGGTAATGGGAAATTATTTCTTAAGAGGACAGGAATCATGTTTTCCAAGATATCTACTAAAATCTAATACCATCCATGGCAAATTGGGAAAAACTTCAAGGGAGAAGAAAAACAAAGAGAAATTTCTTATTTTTGCCGTTACTTACTTCTTTTGCTGTCTCCTCCAGCCCTGCTGGAGCAGGGCACTCACAGCTCGCCAGGGTGCAGCAACCACAGACTGGCCATGACAACCGTGGAACCAAAGCACATCACAGTCATCAGCCCCCAGCTCAGGGGCACGGATGGATCAACAGAGGGGACAGGAAGAAGCTCAGCGTGTTTTGGGAAAAATCARCCCCTGCTGAGACTGTTGGAAAGCCTCTCAAGTCTTCTAATTCACCAAGTTAAAAACAAGTTTATATTCTTACCAATCACACTCCAGATAACAATCCAGAAACATCACCTAATTGTGCAGATTAGGTAATAGATAAGAGATCAAAATACAGGTTTCTCCCCAAATCAGAAACTTTGGTCAGAATGCTTAAGTTAGAGCTTCTCACTAACCCATGAAAGGCGATTAATTGGGTAAGAGCATCATCCCATTCTTTCATCAAATATTTGCACACTTGAAGCACAAATCTGACGTGGATCTTTCTTAGAACCAGAAWGCCAACCATATGCTGGGCTGCATCAAGAGAGGGTGCCAGCAGGCCAAGCGAGGTGATTCTGCCCCTCTAYTCCACTCTTGAGACCCCACCTGGTATACTGCCACCAGCTCTGGAGACCTGTCCCAACTTCACCTGGGATAGAGTTAGTTTGTTATTTGTAGCTGGCACAGAGCTGTGCCTTGGGTTTAGGATGAGAATAATGTGGAAAACACACTGATGTTTAGTTGCTAAGTAGTGCTTGCTCTCAATCAAGGACTTTTCAGTTCCCCTGCTCTGGCAGGGAGCAGGTGCACCAGAACACAGGAAAGAGCATGGCCAGGACAGCTGACCCAGACTGGCCAAAGGGATATTCCACACCAAGGCACATCATACCTAGTATAGAAACTGCAGGAGTTGGCAGAGAGATGCCAAACACTACCACRGGATGGGCTGGGCACTGGTCAGTGCATTGAGCAATTGCATTATGCAGCACTTGTTCCTCTTGGATTTCATCTCTCACTCCTTTTCATTACAGTATTACTGCTCTCTATTGTCTCTCAATTATTCAACTATTCTTGTATCAACCCATGATTTTTACCCTTTTATTTCCCGATTCCCATCCCTACTTGGGAGTGCAGAGGGAGAAGAAGGCACTGAGTAAGCACCTAAGGTGTTGCTGGCTGGAGTTAAACCACAAGCCCCCCACATAAGGAGGACATGGACCTTTTCAAGCTTGTCCAGAGGGTCATGAAGATGACCAGAGGCCTGGAACAGCTCTGCTGTGAAGACAAGCTCAGAGATCTGGGGTTGTTCAGCCTGGAAAAGGCTCTGGGGACACTTTAGGACCCCTTCCAGTACCTGAAGGGGCTAAATGAGGAAGATGGGCTAGACTTTTTAGCAGGGCCTGTGAAATAGGACAAAGGRTAACAATTTAAAAGAGGTCAATTTAGACTACATACAAAGATGAAGTTTTTTACAATGAGGGCGGTGAGGCCCTGGCACAGGTTGTTCAGAGAAGCTGYAGATGCCCTGTGYRTGAAGGTGTTCCAGGACAGTTTGCATGGAGCTCAGGGCAACCTGGTCTATGGGAAGGTRTCCTGCCCAAGGCAGAAGTTGGAACTAGATGATCTTTAAGGTCCYTTCTAAGCCAGAGCATTCTATGATTCTATTTCCATTCCTTCTATTAAGGAAAGGCTCTTTCAATAGACTGGGAGCAGTGTTTTTAAAATATACAGAAGCCTAAAGTAAATGCAGATGTCATCAAATCAGCAGTTCTCCAAACAGATGAGCTGCCTAAAGCAGTTGCAGTTTGCTACAACAGCCATCTGAACTGGTGAGCCTGAAAAAACTTATATATTCACATGCACATGTTTTTTTTTTCCTCATTTCAGCTAACTGCATAATGAGTTTAAAGGGTGGCTCTTTTTAACCTCACTGGTATGCAGCCTTAGCTTGCTAAAATA